TTTACGGTGATACAAATCCATGCACCTGCACAATCATTTCAAATGCAACAAACGTACATTTTATGTACATAATGATTTCAAAAACAGTTGTTTGTTGAGGAGCCCTAAGCTTTTGGAACTACTTTGTTTTTTACCTTGGAATGATATTTTCCAGCTTTCCTCATTATTTCATTGTTTTAACTGAATATATTCAAAGACCTCATTTCCGTGTAAGAAACAGACATAAGAAGCAATAACGGAAATAATGCACTTGAAATAATCAGCTAAAACTAGGAGTGAAATTAGGACAAATAAATACATTAAATTGCGCCTATGATAACAAATGGATTGTTCTGCATGTTGTTCCGTGCTGCAGCTGCACGATGAGAACACATGCATTCTCTAAAATGACTAAAAACAGCTGACTCATGCAATCCAATCATTGAGCGAGTTCCATAAGGGCCGACATCAGGAGAGCGCAAGGAAGTGAAGTCTGGGGGTCAAGTATGGTAAGGGTCTTATGAATACATAAGAGTCAGTGTCTACTCACTGAGAGAGAGGGCAGCTTACATGTATAAAATGTGGCATAATCCAAAAGTGATAATCAAGTTTCCTCAACAAGCATCCTTCTAACACGCAGAGGAAAACACATTATTCCTATCGTTTAATAAAAAGAGTTTTCCTTAACATGCTCACAAGTTTAGTCTTCTGATATTTCAACGTGTCTTTCTCCTCCCACCCAAACCCAAAGATACTTGTTCTCCGCGACTCATTCATTATTCGTATCCTTCTTGGTGGAGAAGATGAGGGCATCAGAATTGATATGACTGGCTCTGGGGAATTGAGTGTTATCAGAGTTCATGGTTGTTGAGAGCAACTAGAACATCAGCGAAGCAGCGAAGGACACTTTCCACATTGCAGTCAAACATGAGCCCTTTGCATAAAGCAGGCATGCATCCCTCTGGCATGTTATACATGTATACATATCGCCCCTCACACATGTTGCTTTTTCTATTTCCTATGAAATGGTGCAATTGTGTGCATTATGTTTGTGGTAAATAAAATGTATCTTCAAAAAGTATGCTGCTAGTGATAAGAGTCTTATCAGTTCCCTCCTTACTATTCAACTATATTTGAAAAGAAATATAACAAACTATCCGTGGTTTTGTCTTGTGAACTTTGAAGGCAACACGATTCTATATTCAGTCAGTATAGGACACCGTGATGCCTTTCACAGCCTGAGTTTCCTGCTGGAGACTGAGGAGGCAGCAACTTTGATAGACTATTATATTTATAAAAAGAAGACTTTAACACTTGGTCTTTGCATCATCATCATCATCATCATCATCATCATCATCTTTAGACGGAGGAATCAAACAGGGAAGCCATGCAGGCGGTGAAAGGATTCTTCTGGCTGTGTCTGAACCCTATCCCAGGTGTGGACCTCGGTTCTTCCAGGCCACTGATTTACTGACAGCCACGGATTCTGCCGCAGACTCTAACACTATAAATAAAAACCTATGAAAGACTTCCTTGTTCGAGATTTGTATTCAGAAAGCTTGGCAGCAAACTCAGCTGTTTATGTCCTTGTTTGCACACACTCAGTGTACTGATGATTGTAAGCAGCATGTGGCTCCATCCTACACCTCTTTCCTCTGAACGTTCAGTTGATTGACAGACAGAGTGGATTGAGCTGGCAGATGCTGTTTAAGACGGCCATTAACTAACTCTGTGGGACTTTCATCTAATCTGACGATGACAACACTTTAGAATGTCACTCTTCCAATTAACATCATGACATGTTTCACTGCCCCTTGCTTATCTTGGGTAAAGACTATGCAATGAAATGGGTCCCTGAATTGTAAACCATATGTAAGTAGTGTTAATGTAAATGATCTTACCTTATGCAGTTAACACAACCAGGCAAATAAGCACAGCAACATGAGTAAAGAGCAGTAAAAGGCATAGTAAGGGACACATGCTACACATGCAAGTGGCAGGACTGTTGTGTATATATATGCATGTTATACCACTTTCTCTCTTCCTCTAATTCCTGTTGGCGTCTCCTCAGTATCTCATAAAGGAAATGTTCAAATGTAATAAAAAGTGTCTTTAGGATTGTGTGTGTGTGTGTGTGTGTGTGTGTGTGTGTGTGTGTGTGTGTGTGTGTGGAACATGCATCAATCCTGCGTTAGGTCTGCCAGTGGGCTGACATCAATTCACTTGTATCCAAATTGCTTTTTAAAAAATAACTTTTTTGAAATGGCTGATGTGAGAACGTTATGTCACTGTGACACGAACAGAAACCAATATCTAAAAAGTAATACAAGTATAGTGACTCCACTTCCAGCAATATAAAAAACCGGGGGAAAACCGCACTTAGATACTAATAAAGCACTTATATGCTAACAGAGCACTTATATACTAACAAAGGACTGGCTTACCTAAAGCCAGTTGAGTAGCACTTAAAATGTTTGGCTCTATGAAACCTGATGTACTTATATGATTCTGTTTTCTTCAAGTTTGTGTCTTGTTGGTCGAATGTACTTCTTGTAAGTCGCTTTGGATAAAAGCGTCAGCTAAATGCAATGTCATGTAAATTTACTAAATTACCATATTTTGGGGAGTATTTTTGAAGAACTTGTAATTAACTTGAGTATAAACATTTTATACTACAAAAATACTTCTACTCCAGAACAATTGAGACAAATATTGTACTATTTATTCTTCTATATTTCTTTTAGAAACCTAAAAATTATGAATTAATTTATAGATTATGTGTATTCATTAAAGTAAGATCCAACGTTACCTACTGCAAAATAATGTTCACATTAATGGCTTGATAATTACAATCTAGTAAAAATAAAGTCATTCTGCATAATAAGTACTTTTAGTTTAGGAACTTCAAGTATATTTTAACGTAAAGTAGTCAACTTTTTGAATGCAGGATTTTTACTTGCAACAGAAACTGTTCCACAACTGCAGTACACTGGTGTGTTTAGGGCAGCATTACAACGGGAGGATTTATAATGAAGTTTGGGATTTATATATTCATATTCCCATATGTAAAGTTACAAAACTCAAACAGCAGACAAGTCATACAAAACGCTAGCTAGGTTACTGACTAGGTTATGCATGCTATCCCCTGTGTCCTGTCACTGTCCCTTCAGTACAGTACACATCATAGCGTGCACAGTATACAGGGTGTGTGAGGGTGCAGCTGCAGCACCGCGCACTGAGCAACCAGACACACACTGACCTCCAGAGAGGAACAATAAGAACATGTCCATGTTGTCCCATCATATAAAGACAAACACTGGTAGCTGACCGTATCACACTGACAGGTTAGCCGCAGCAGCTAGCTTACCTTACTGTAGCTAGCACCAGAGTCAGACTCACATATGTTCCACTTCCCACACGGTGCAAATGTTAAGTTGTCATGTTAGGTCAAACAATAATAAAAATACAAACGCTAAGGTTACGTGTCCAACCCTTGCAGAGCAATAGTTCAAAGGATACAGTTTGAAGCCCTTCAAAATCTCCTTGGCCCTGTCTTCGTCTGAAGACATTTCTGAAGTCGCCTGTTTTCGTTGCTTCCAGAAAATAAATCCAGGATGTGATGAAATAACAAAACTGCTGCTGGTGTTAGCTCCACTAACGTGAGTTAGCTAAATGCTCTGCCCGCTAATATTCGCATGTAAACTAGGTATAACGTTACTTAAGTCTATATTGTTGGACTGCAGGTTAAATCTGATCCGATAATGCAATCAGCTAAATATACCCAGTTAACTAACAGACAGCTAGCCTAGCCAGTAAACGGCACGGGGAAGCGCCTAACAGCCAATCACAGGCCGAGAATAAGAAGCCTGGGCGGGACACAGTAGATAGAGACGCGTCACCAGGGGCAACGCCGCCGCACAGTGAAGGGCAGGCAAAAAAGCTACACCTCAGATAATAACAGGTTTGGATGGAAACTTAACATTTCTATAAAACTAAAAGATTGAATGAAATTAATGAGGTAGCATCATAGACTGTATATATAAAGGGTAGCATACAGCAAATAGTATTGATGAATATCAGATTCCCAAATGTGTAAACTAGCTGCTACCAATACAAATTGTAAACTGTAAATAAAAGGGTTTGTTGTTATGATCATAGCCACTGTCCGACATATACTTGTTAAATACACTCCATTATCCATCCACGAGTACGTAGGATTACTTTTTTATATATACATATAATTGTTTAAAAAAAGTGTACCCATGAATAACAACTTTCAAATGCCTGTACGAACGTCCTGAATAAATAGAAAGTCAAAATGTATTTTCACAAGACATGGAGAACGATAGGTCAGTCGGGGCTGAAACCAGCTGATCACCTTAGTTATCATTTCCACATTGTTACTACCACTTGGGATATTGTATATTAAATAGAAGTATAACCAAAAGGGAGCATTTATTTAGGGGGGCTCTGGCTCTAAACGTAAGAAGTCCTGTCCATTGCATTTCTACATATCGGCTAACATGCAACTCCCAGTAACACCAGACAGGAAATAAAAAATACAAGTATCTGAAAGTAATTTCAGTATTATGATTGTAGTTGTTAAGTTGAATGTCTATTTCCTTTTCTTAGTTGTGTCCTTGTTGATGTTGCTGTGATGCTAATGACATCTCCCTGATGGCACCCATAAACACTGAAGTGTCTGGGAATCAGACAGGGTGATTGTGGCTGCAGGTGTTTCATCATGGAGTCAGAGGGGCCTGCACCCACCTGAGCACTAACCATGAAGGGGCCAACAACAGCCTGCAAAGTGCATCATCCAGACCTACACCACCTCTTGATAGTGAGGAGCAGACCTCCAGGGAGGTTTTATTACACCGGTCAATGCAACATTAGATTGTATGCATTATTGAACAGTAACGAGGCATCAGTGTACCATTTATGTTCACAAACAGTGTATTAAAAAAATCAGAACATCATAGAAAAGGCGCAAAGCAGAAGACAAACGACACCAGTCTGGCTTTCAGAGTTTAGAAAACTTTTATTAAGTGACAGATTAGTCCTTCTTGGCAGCAGCTTTCCTCATGGCAGCCAGAACGTTGCTCAGCTCCTCCCTCTTTCTCTTGGCACGGATGTGAGTGCCAATCTGTGGAGGAGAGAGAAACATTAGACTCAACACCCTCTAGCCTACTATCAGCACATGCTACAGACCAATACAAGCTCTGCAGTAGATTGTACAAGTTGCTCTGTCACCGATGTAATGATCATGCTGCTGTGGCTGTGCAGCAACGCTCTGACTTGACAAACACTAACTTACCCTCTTCTTAATGAACTTGAGGGCTCTCTTGTCCTTGGACACCTTGAGCAACTCCATGGCTCTCCTCTCATATGGAGCAAAGCCACACACCTCACGGATCATGTCCCGGACAAACTTGCTGTGTTTGGTCAGACGCTGCAGAGGAAAGACAAAGCTTTAAAACCACAGATCCTTTCAAATTATACAGGAATCGTTGCAATGGACATCATTGTTTATACAGACATTACATATTCTGCAGCAAATCAATGTGAGTAAATCATGCTTTACAAAAATTGGATTTATAAGCTTTGACCCGCAACTTGAGAAGTTTACTTTTCACCATGTTATCAGACATTGTAGGGAAAAGAGGACTGCCCTGAGCTACATCTCTGAAACTCTTCTGTTCTTCAGCAGCCTGGCATTGTTTCCGCCATGTATGGACAGATTGTCCCCAGGCTTTACAAGAGGTGGCTATAGTTTGAGAAAGTTACATTTAGGGCTTATTGGATGAATCTGGAACTGCATGTAGTAGCATTCTGTGGGTATTGTCCACGGTATTCAATGCATTACATGTCTCATTATGTAATATAATGAAAAGCGCTTTGAGGACTTGGAAAAGTGCTAAAATAAATACCATGAATTATTATTATTAACTGTGCTTTTAAAAAAAACTACATTTATATGACTACACATCCTTATACCATCTTCATAGCATCAGACATTACAGCTTTAGTAAATATGTTGCATATTTCAACCCACTTGTTATAAAGACTGTGGCTCTTTTTACATTATAGTCAATATGTTTTATAGTCATGATAACTTTTGCAACACTCGACTTTTACTGTTCAAATATGTTATTGTGCTTTGCCCGTTTCCAAATGTCACTGTTCTGCCCAGTTTTAAGCCCTGTAGCTTTATCGGGCATCATACGCCCATGAACAAATGTTATATCACTGCTCAAATTTACATTTTAAAAGGCTCAGTTATTTTCTATTACGAATGGCCATGTTATATTTAAGCATTCATGATTCAAACAGGGAAAAGTTGCATTTGACTCTTGCAGTGGGATATGCACATAGGATGGAAATCAGACTGGTACTAGTGATTATTTAAAATATACATTAAAATGTCAGTTATGTACTTGTTATATTAGGCTAATAAAAAATGTCCCAGAGCCAAGATTTATATATTTAAATTACTTGTTTTTGTCCTAAAAAAATCAAATGCATGTATTTTGACATCATGAAGCTGAAGCCTGATAATGCTTCTCATAGTGCCAACATGTCTTAAATGAGCAAACAAGTAATTGATGGCAAATAATCCATTAATTGTGGATGGGACAGGGTGGAAGAAGTATCACATGTGAATAGACTGGTTTGATTTGCTGTCAGATATTCAGCATCTAAATCAGGACATGGATCAGCTTAAAGTAACTTGTGAAATTACATGTTGTCTTGTTACAAACTAATCTCAGACAAGCACATTAAGCATCACACTCCTAGTGAGGTCTGAGTGCTTTAGTAGTAGCAGTAATGTATTAAATGTGAAGCATCAGAAACTCACCCCACGCCGGCGGCTGTGTTTGGGGGCAGTCACATTTTTAGTGACTGGGTGGCCCTTGTTAAGGCCAACAGCCATAGGGTAGCGGATAGCCATTTCTGAAGGAGATAAAAAACATTTAAAAATCAGTCACAATTGATACAACTTTTTCCAGACCCATTTAAGCAGCAACCACATGTTCAACAGTCAACAGAAGCACTTCCGCTGGTGCAGATATAACGGTTTATGTTTTCAGAGTTAGCATGCAGTGCTAACGTTAGCGTAACAGAACCGGGTGGACATACAGGTGAAGTTAAATTACACTTTACCTAAGAAAATGTTTCTAAAACGCGTCTCAGTACACAATGTACCGTGTAGCTCCTATAGGTGTTATGCAATGAGGTATAGAGATCGCTTTATGCACAGAATGAACACAGCTATGGGGCTTATGAGTCACTGACAGGGATTCATTTTTTCCTATCTTTCACTTGTTCTTGTGACACAAATAATGCCTACAGATGTTAGATAAGTTCTATATGTGTCTATAGTTTCACTGTGTCCGGTGGAAAACGACGGATGGTAAAGATTATACGTGGATTTTGGCAGATAGTTGTCAACATTTAAATCTTACCTGCTGTCTATGATGGCGGTCAGACCGGAAGGACTGTGGAACGAGAGAGGCGGGGTAATGACAGGTTTGACCCGGAAAAGACATCTGCGACAACAGAGCACTGCCCCTATCGGTCTGGATGAGTTACTGCTGTTTAATCAGTCTTTTGCTTTATTTATTTTTCGTAGTAGCATTTAAATAAAATACATGGTATTAATGCTGTGATATTATATTATCAATCAATCAATTTAGCAAAAGACCACTGTATTTTTATGATCAAATAGTTTACACAAGAGATGAGCATGACCATAAGACTACAAGCTACATCAGGCCATCTACTGGCACCTAAACCCAGGACAAATCTTCTGAAATCTTCTGTGTCTTATAGAGCTATAAAGGAATGGAACTCATTGCCAAACTACCTTGCTGAAATAGAGTCCAGAGCCTCTTTCAAGAAGAGATTGAAGGGCCATCTACTAATGACCCTGCACCCTGGTGAGCTGTGAACCCTAATTTAATTTGATCTCATGCTTTGTACTGGTGGGTGTCTAGTGCACTCATCCTTGGCTGAGATTGATATTGAAAGTGGATGAGATTGTTGATGATGTTGTAAATTGTTGATGATATTGGTGATGTTGTTAATGATGTCAGGAATTATGTCTTGAATGTTGTTGTATTATTATTGTTGTATTATTGTTGTATTGTTTTAAGTGTCGGACCCCAGCTTTTGTCAAGAGCAAAAGCTAATGGGGATCCTTAATAAACATAAACATATCATCCAGTAAGGTTCATGTATCTGAAAATAAATATATCTGTTTTTTATATATGTTCATAGGTGAGCCGTTGTTTCCAATTTATCATATTGCAAGTTGTGGTCCAGTTCAACACTACAAGGTCCATTCTTGTTTTGTAGAAAATAATAAGAGTTTCTCCAATATTTTGTATTTCATTTAATATCAGTATTACAAAAATAAGGACAGGTCAGTGGAAATTATTTCAATGTTATGAGAGCTCATCACTATTACACTATAACTAAATATTTTGGGAAATACTGAAAGCTATACGTATTATATGTAGGTAAATTAAAGTCTCCTACTGAACTACCTCGGAAAAAATGTCAGTAGTTCGAGACAATGCATGCATTTGATAAACACATTAGTTTCCTTAAAATGTCCTTTTCCACCAAGCAGTAATTTCTTTGGTACTCCGGTATTGACTTTGTTTCACTTAACACTAATTACATTCCTTGGGGGGAAACAACTACACTGAACAAAAATATAAACGCAACACTTTTGTTTTTGCTCCCATTTTTCATGAGATGAATTTAGGGTAATGTTGTGAATCGAGTGGCCCATGGTGGTGGTGGGGTTATGGTATGGGCAGGCGTATGTTATGGACGACGAACACAGGCCACTCGATTCACAACATTACCCTAACCCTAACCCTACCCCTAACCCTAATCCTACCCCTCACACGAGATACTGACTGGTTTTCGGACCCCCCCAGACCCCCCCAATAAAGCAAAACTGCACGTTTCAGAGTGGCCTTTTATTGTGGCCAGCCTAAGGCGCACCTGTGCAATAATCATGCTGTCTAATCAGCATCTTGATATGCCACACCTGTGAGGTGGGATGGATTATCTCGGCAAAGGAGAAGTGCTCACTATCACAGATTTTTTCAGATTTGTGAACAATATTTGAGAGAAATGGTTATTTTGTGTATATAGAAAATGTTTTCGATCTTTGAGTTCATCTCATGAAAAATGGGAGCAAAAACAAAAGTGTTGCGTTTATATTTTTGTTCAGTGTAGTTATCAGTATTTGTTCAGTCATGAACACCTTACTGGGTTATAGCTTTTTCCATCACTAAATTGCTTCCCATTTTGTTTTAGACTTTGTAACTGTTACTAAAAACGGGAATTGACTTACAAATTGTAAGTCAATTCCTGTTTTTTGAGAAGTGAGATGTCTGTAAGTTATCAAAGCCTTGTAAAGGATTATATGAGTGAAGGTATAATGTTATCTAAAGGTTAACACTGTCGATTTGAGTTTTTTTGATCAAAAATAAAACATGAAACATCGGACCAATGGTTCATTTTGCGACTTCATGCCATATCCGATACATACAAAATATGATACTATAGTACCAGAGATATGTTGGGAGACCTAGTCCAATCCTCCAGATGCAGGTCAAACTCACCCACACTAACTCATTCACACAAAGAATCTGAAATAGGCTCCAGTATTGTAGCATGATCCCTGAGCACTACTAGAAAAAAATGGAACCGTGTACATTGTCCAGGGGGAAATAAGACAAAGAACACGAGCCAAGTACAGATTAGGATGAAACCCTCAGTGGTGCTGGGGCGGATGGCAAAGGAGCAGCTGGATCAGGTTAAAGTTCAATTTACATTAAAGGTCTCATGTCATGCTTTTCCGGTTATTACCCGTCCCCTTGTGTGTTATGAAGATTTTTATCCATGTAAACGGTCTGCAGTCACAAACCCTCAAAGTACACCCTAGCGAGTAAAACTCTAACACAGAAAATACCTGTCTATGATGCCCCAGAACGCCTCGTTGGAGATTTCTCTTTTTCCATTTTTTTCTTCCTGGGTATGGTGACGTGACCATACCCAAATGGACCAATCCGTGGAGCTCCTCACACACACACACACACACACACACACACACACACACACACACACACACACTCTCTCAGCGGCAAAACTGTGACGCGCTGGGGGGGGGGGTGCTAGTGGAGCCTCGCAGCAACGAAACTGTGGCGCGCTTACACTGTAGGTGCGCCGCGTTTGATGGTGCGGGTGCTAGTGGAGCTTCGCAGATGGGGGTGCTGCAGCCCCCTCAGCACCTCCCCCCCCCCTTCCTGCGTCCATTCGCGATGTCTCGCTGTCTCGCAGACCCCACGCAGCAAGCAGGACATGAACCCAGCTCACACTGTCCGCTCCTCGCAGCAGCGAGCCGCGCAACGTCCCGCCAACACGGCACCCAGAACCCACGCAGCATTCTCATCTGTTTGTCATTACTGGTGTCATTTTCTGGTTGCTAACGCCATTGTAACACATAATCACTGATGCTCCGCTGTAACGGAGGGCAGGAGCTCCAACAAGCCGTTTAGGACAGAGACTCAGTGAATACACATACTATACAGAGATACTGTATGAGAAACCAATGTGAGTTTGGAAAATTGTACGATATAAATGTATTCTAGTAGACCTCAACAATGGAATTATGATCAGTAGAAATGGCCATGACATGGGACCTTTAAGATCTTGGCTTGTTTGTCTTCCCTTCTCCCCCTTCTTTGCTTTCTCCTGCCTTGGGTACACCGAGCTGTATAGGACCTGCCACAGTAACGACACCCTAAAGTAGCAGCTTTGAAACAACAAGGATGTGCAGTTGTGTGCAGCATTTTTGCATGTTCTGCAAACTGCCAATGTGTCACCAGGTTCTTTATAAAGCCTCACTGCACTTATGACTTCTCCGGTGATACTGCTTAACAGTTGTTTTACATGTTATTTTTCTCTCTTCTTGCAGTCCAAGTCAACATGGGGTAGTCAGGGTGATTCTCCCAGGGTCAACATGGAAAAATACTTCACATACCTGTGCAGAGACTTCCACACAAACCAGATGGTATGAGGAACATGTCCCCAATTTAACATACATTGGAGACAATGATGTTTTAAATGCTCCACTACCAATATTGATGGCCTGTGCCTGAATCACATTAAGTTTGTTATGGTGGGTTTCTCTCTGACATAGAAGCGATGCATCCATAATCTAGGACGGCCGTCACAATTGAATTTAACATAGATGTCCTGCTCGCTCGGTTTTTCTCCATTTGACAGACATTAAAGTAAATTATTAATGTTTTTGCACTAGTTTCTAACTTTGTTAATATACTACCATGTTACCTTTATTAAAATAGAACTCCAAAAAGTCTAACCACCTTAACATGTTTGAGAACTTGTCCTTATAATTTAAGGGTTACTACTTATTGCTGTTTAGCATATTATACTTGAAAAAAAATTCCATTTCCATTTTTTATTTGTTTACCCAGTCTTCCTTTTTTTTCTGCAGCTTGCATTTGGCTTTTTACATTCTCTAAATTACAACCCCTGCCCCGAAAGAGATTGTCATCAGTGAAACGTTGTTATACCATGTTTTGCTCAACCTCAAAAATATTAATAAAAAAATAAAAAATAGACATAAGAATCGGTTGTCCCTTTCCTTTCCAAATTTTACTTCATTAGTAATGAAAATATTTGTACTTACTCACTTATTTGTAAAGTGTGATCATCTCCAATGCTTTCAATGGTTTTACTGACACTGACTGGTATGCCTGTATCACATATGAAGTTCTACAATCTTAATACTACTTGAAGTGTGCTGTCTTTCCTAAGCTCAACATACATAACAGATATTATCTTTTCTTGGTGAGTTTTGCCAAGAGGTGGAAGAAGTACTCGGATCTTGTACTTCAGTAAAAGTAGAAGTACCAGAGTGTAGTAATAATCTGTTACAAGTAAAAGTCCTGCAAACAATATGTTACCAAGTAAAAATAAAGTAAGTACAAGTACAAAAGTATTAGCATCAAAATATACTTGAACTACCAAAAGTAAAAGTACTTATTATGTATATTCTAGTATAATATAAATTATATGTTTTGATTATAATGATTGATGCATTAAAGTGTTATCAAAGCTGGTAAAGGTATGTGAGTTTTAATGACTTTGTATACTGCAGGGTAGCTTTTGAATTTACTCCAGGTGGAACTAAAGTCTGATTTAAGACTTGATTATATTTCACATCATTAATCCAGATCTGTAAAGTAACAGCAGGTATTAAATAAATGTGGTGGAGTAAAAGTACACCATTTAACTCTAAATTGTAGTGGAGTAAGTACAAAGTAGCAACATATTGAAATGCTAAAGTAAAGTAGAAGAATTGTACTCAAGTACAGTAATCTAGTACATCTACTTAGTAACTTACTACACGAATGGTTTTGCCTGAGTGTATAATATATAAAATATATGCATGTTTAAATATCTATAGAATTTAGAAATGGCTCTTCATTCAAATAAATA